AATATATATATATATATATATATATATATATATATATATATATATATATATATATGCCCCACCCACAGTCCCATGCTAAGCTTAAACTCGACACGTAATGTGCGGTGCTGCTAACATATATAAAAGCAGACTCCGCCTTATTGCAAGCCACCTGGCTTCCAGCGCAATTTGGCAGCTCAGTGCGGATTATCGTCTGGAGTTACCACAGTGCGCTGTACACATGGAACTCGCTCTCTCTCTCTTCCCTAGTTTCTGGCCTGTGAGTACCGTATTTCCGTTCTAGACAAATTTCCCAGGTCGAATTTCGGACTCTTTCTCGGTACTTGATCAGCAGATGTGGGAAGTAACCAATCAAAACGAAAGTCTGCTGGACGTTACCGGTTGACCCATTTGCTTTCACATATGTATCAGCTACGAAGGTGCCAATTCTGACTTCGCAGTGCGCAGGAATTATTCCGTAGACAGACACAGCCGCTACAAGCGTGAGTGATGCGTGCTTACCTCAACTAATAACTAGCATAATGATGGAGGGAGGAAGTTTGTCAAACTGAAAAGGCCCGGGTAGTTACTTTGCTGAGTTTACGCATGATTTGGTAATAGTAACACCGGTCTTTCCGGAATCTGTGTTTTAATGCGTCTAGCCAGAATCATGTGATTCAACTTGGAACAATGGGTCAAACGCACGGTGGAAATCGGTGAACATTAGTACATTAGAATTGCCCGTATCAGTCGTGGGCCGGTTAGTGTCAACTGGTCCCTGGAGCGACAAAGGCATGGTCACCGGATGATTCCCCATGGCCAAATATTCAAAAGGCCCGGAAATACCTAATTATATAAAAAGCTCCTCAAGTTTTGACTACCAGGTAGAGTAAATCACTCCAGGTGTGGCCATGTCGTAGCATAATCTGTTTCGCCTGACTGTGACGTCAGGGGATATATGGCCGGGATAAGGCGAGAGTGATCGGTGGGGATGCTTGCAAACTACAGACACTTTGTACACGCTATCATGGAGTGGTGTATGGGCATGCTAACCATAGGGGGTATTTTGCATTTCCCTGCGCGGCGAATTTTCGCAATATCACCATGCTGGACAGCACCCTGCTGCGACCAGTTTTTCACTGATCTACGCCTTTAGGTCAAACACAAAGTAATCGGGAAGTCTGCAAGTATGGAGGTGTGTTTATCGCAAAGTCCCAATGTAAGGAACAGGGTACACCGGTCAAGGACTGGGTAGTGAAGGTCATTCGCTTTTATCATTGAGTGACTAGTGCGTTTAACTAATCACTCGAAAGTTTTAACTTTCGCTTAAACTCAACCTTCCTGAAATGCCACTAAGGGGTTATCTTGACAAACCGGTCCCGCTATTTGTTGAACAAAGCAGCTATTACCACACAGCCCTTACGGAACCAAAATTCTCAGTAAGACGCAGTATTCGCCCCGTAGCGCAAAACGATAGAAAACATTCGTTTCGGTAGTGCGGAAATTTATTCCGCATAGCATCAAAGACGTTTCGTACAATTGATAACCGTCGAATCAATAGTTAATTTGGTCTTAAATTGGCACGCGCTGGCGTCAGTGAGTCTAGCCAATGGGAAGCATGTGAACACAATTTGATCAATCGCTAGCTTCTCGTTAGACTGACACGCATTGACTTTGGTATTATCGACCAGACAGTAGGAGGTAAGGGAACTCATCTTGCGCAGATGCCACAGCAGCTGACCCGCTATTCTCACTAGTTCGGTCTTGCTCTTTTCCTTTAGCTGAGCAGTCATGTACACGGTTGATGGCTTAACCGTTTTTCTGTCAATATTTGCCGGATCGCATATCTGATTGCTTCCCACCGGTGCGTATAGCGTCGAACAATCCATTAATATAGCTCAGTTTACAGCCTTTGACGTAAGCATCCTGCTCTACTAGATTCTACGGTCTGACATAAGGTCTCTGGTAAGACACTATGCTGTCCCGAACTCTGGTGTTTCCGGTGGTATGCAAACTGTAGGTGAAAATAAATGTTGTGCGTAATGACTTCCGAATATCGGTTCTCCACAAACCTTTTTCCTTGGCACCAACGTCACATGTCCTTTAGGTAGATAGCCCACGAATACATGATGATTCAACACTTGGCCAGTGCCACAACACATAATTAAAAACAACGAAAGGGGAAAAACAGATAGTCAGTAGAAGGTTTATGCGTTGTGCGAGCAGAGAAGTTCCCGGCTGCCCAGGCCGAGGAAGAGGGTTGTCTTAAGGGACCCCACTTCGAGCCTTTGGTCAGAAAGACCTAGCCCTCAAGGCAGCGTGGCGATTAACGAACACCGTTGATATCCAAGTAGCTCATTCGCTTACATTGTTTTCAGTAACAGTCTACAAAGAAGCCGGTGGCCAACAAGGTTGTTCATCCGTCATCCGTTAGTTAGTCACTTCTGGTTGCATAAGTGAGTGGTCAGTGACACTTTAACTGGTCACATTGGCTTTGACACAGCGCCGTACGAGTAATTGTGGTATTCGATGGAGAACCAGGTGATCATCCTCAGAACTCCCCACGCTCTGAGACGCTGTCGCTGATTGTCCGCGATTGTTTATTCATCACGCCTGCAAGGCAGACGAGACTTGGAAGTATTTAGGTGTTGCTCCTCCCAACTCAGACACACCACGATCGCGCTTTCGTCCTGGTTTGGACTCATCAGGTGAGGATAGTCTGAGCTGGGGTGGAGCTCAGAGCCTAGTGGTTCACGACTGACGTCCTGATCACTATGCAACTGGGATCTGCGGACGTGTTCTCCAAATCCAACTTGGAATTCATTCCCGCTGTGCCAAGCGTTGCTCGCGGATCTCAGTGGTATAGTGATCAGGACGTTAGCCGTGAACCACTAGGCTCTGAGCTCCAGCCCAGCTTAGGCTATCTCCACCTGAGGAGTCAAAAGCAGGACGAAACTGCGGTTGTAGTGTGTCTGCGTCGGGAGGAGTAACACCTAACTAATTCCATTTCGGATACAGTCCTTGTGGTCGGAATTATGGAGGTCGACCTCATATGAAACCGACGTCTCAATAAGTGCGTGTTGCAATCCAACCACACATCGTGTTCTCCAAATCCAACTTGGCAAATGAGACTTATTCATAGTTACCTCCACAAGGAAGGCATTCCCTAATCCGCAACCTGGGAACGCGCCCAATAATATACAGCTCCGCCACGGAACAAGAATACATTTTACCAAGCAAACCTTGGTCACCGGTATAACCTGGTTGGTTTCCATGGGATGTTGAATAAATTGCATCAACATGTCATTAGTCGCAAGATCGCTGGATGATTTGCAGTCTTATATGGGTGGTGCTGTGAACTTGAAACCGTTTCTGCAATCCGTTATCGGTGAATATTTTTCCCGGTACTCTGAAACTGATGAAGAGTTGTAAAACTTTGTAACTTCAGAAGGTTATACAAGATGTTTCATTAAGCTGGTCCTGAGCTAGGAGCGGCTGCACTCAAGTGCTGACGTACACCGGTACGCTGAATTGCTAACTGTCCAATGGCGCAAGCTGCTTTGCCGGCAGGGGTGAGCTGGGGCACGGAGAAGCGATACGGGTGCCTACAATCGCAGGGCACACCGAGCCGTTAGGCTGTGGGAGCTGAACGTTATCAAGCACCACAGCCGCAATCGACCTGTCATGCGTGGATCGCCGGGCAAGACCAAGGGAACGCACTTCATTCGGTTGTGAGAACTGGACGTGAGCCACACATTACAGCCGCACTAAACGTATCATGCTTCGATCGATCGGTAGTCGGCCTGCACCCAGGTGAAAAAGCCAGCAAACGAGTTCCCTGTGAAGTGGTTAGTGGGTCGCTGTGCTAGGAACTGACAAAAACAGCCTGGCCATATGTGATGACCGGTCAATGGGCGCCGAATTGCTGTCGCCACAAAATCCGTCGTCGCCTCATGACTGGCTTCCCATAAATCCGTAAGCTGTTATTAGGTTGCTTTCGCTGCTAAAGGGAATCATACTGCCAGGAGCACATTGTAAGCTTACAGTGTTCGCTTTACCATTTCGATCGCGTGTGTGTTACAGCTGAAAATGCACCCCTCATGGGTGCATAAAAGCGAATTCTTGATTTGACATGACAATGCTGTCAGACTGCCGTCTGCTCAAACGTACTAGTAGCACCATTAGGCAGCATACCAATTTAGTCATGAATACAACTGTTGTCCTCACAGTCAGACAATTTCCAGTTATAAAAATTGATCAGGCCTTCGATGGTGTTTCCCATATACAATCGAGAATTCGAAATGAATTGGAATATTGGTAGCTCGGGAGGCTTGCTCAGTTGTTGTGGAGTTCTCCGAGCTGTGCAACTTGGTTGCAGACGTTTCGCCACCATTCGAGGTGGCATCTTCAGTGCAGGATTGATAGCAGTGAAGTAGCGGTAGCTGGTAGAAATCAAACCCAATGGATCATCCATTATTGGGTCTGCTTTTTACCAGCTACCGCTACTTCACTGCTATCAATCCTGCACTGAAGATGCCACCTCGAATGGTGGCGAAACGTCTGCAACCAAGTTGCCCAGCTCGGAGAACTCCACAACAACTGAACAATCGAGAATATACATTTATTCATTTCTTTACTTGTGTTTGCATGAAATATGTGAAATGTCTGTACAAATCAACGAATTGGATGTTTGAAGTTTATTGCATTTGTATTTAACAATTGCGCAATAAACATTCAGCAGCCACAACAAATGAGTAACAATAACAAAAAAGAGAGATTGAGTAAGAGGACTGGAAGCAAAGTTCCATGTGCGCCCGATAGTGTACAGCTCCGCCACGGGGATGTTCGAAGTGATCTCTGTCGTTTTGGCTACAGAGAGGCATTCGCCCGATGGTGTTGGCGAGCACTTTCTGCAATGTCCCGGACGAAATCTGCCTACTTTCGTTTACAATGTTTGCTTTCAGTTCATCCATGTTGTTGGACTTTGTTCTATAAACTCTGCGCTTCAACTATCCCCATAGGAAAAAGTCCATGGGATTCATATCTGGTAACCGTCAGGCCACTCGCGACCGAGCCAACGTCCACCGAATGTCTCCTTCAGGTAGGCACGAACTGATTGCGCCGAGTGTGCAGGTACGCCATCCTGCCGCCACCCAAATTATTTATTATCCCTACCGACTGTAGCTTGTAGTGTACCGGAAAACACGCTGTTGCAATATATTGTCACACTACCTTTTACGCTTGTTTTAACCTTTAATAGGTCCACTTGTTTTACTGACGGCACATTCGTGTACATAAAGAGTTTCGTTGAATACTTTGTTGCACCGTTTCTCGCCCTGGTTGCTTCGCTTCCTATTTTTGTAGCCTGCACAATATACGTTGGGTTCAGTCGCCTCCAGCTTCTATACTGTCCCGTATTTGACACGTCTCCTATGTGTCCTTGAACAATGAACAATGAATTTATACGGGTTAAGAAGCGTTGCTTTACAAGTCCCGTGGGATAGTTGCAGGGGATATCAACATAACAATAATGATATAAGGATAGTAAAATAGTTAATACTTTAAATATGAAAATAAGGACTTATCGTTTGCTTCGCTGCAGTCCTGCGATCTTCTTAGATTCACAGCATCCACAGTTAACAACAAATAATTCCATGGTGAACTCCAGGTGTAGGATAGAGACGTAGTGTTAAGTAACAAAGTGTAAGTGGATGAGTGCATCGTCCAACCGTCTTTTAAATACTGTTAGTGTCGGTGCAGAGATGACCGATTCCGGGAGAGCATTCCACGGGTGACAGACACGGATGGAAAAGAAATTTCTGCGGCACTCCAGACGACTGTATTGTTCTGCGAGTTTTACTGAGTGGCCCCTCAGGTTTGTATTGCTGCTGAGTTGCAGTAAAGGGCGGCACACATGATGTGGGTCTTGTAGAATCACGTATGCCATAATCAGGTCGCCTCGTAGTCTGCGATAACTTTCACTGAACAATCCCAATCGTCGCAGCCTCTCCTGGTACGACAGATTGCGCATTCCAATTACGTTCTTAGATGCCCGGCGTTGTGGCTGCTCCAGTGCATTAAGGTCGTGTTTCAACCATGGATGCCAGGCTTGAATTGCATATTCGACATGGGAGCGAACATACGCACTGAGCATTTGTCGAAATATGGAGATGTTTATTTGTCCAAACGCCCGCCTCAACAGCCCGACGTGTTGGTTCCCGGTCTTCGAGGCCTTTTCGGATTGCCTGGATCAACCCAAGTCATCTTGCACAGGGACACCCAAGTCACGTTCGAGAGTTGATTGTTGCAGTACATCCGTTCCGAGCCGGTAGGAGTAGCTGCTTTGATGTCGGATGGAAAGCACCTTGTATTTACTGACGTTGAAATGCAATAAGTTTTAGGTCGACCATTGATACACCTTATCTAAATCACTGATGCATATGTTGGTCGGTGTTCGCCTGGATCCTGCGCCAGATCTTGATATCGTCGGCAAACTTTAGGAAGTTTGAAGCGATTCCCTGTGCAAGGTCATTAATACACACCCAAAACAAACGTGGACCTAGAACCGAGCCTTGCGGCACACCACACTCGACTTGTATAGGGTCCGATAAAGAGCTCCGAAATCTGACCACAAATTGCCTTTGAAATAGAAAGTTGGCGATCCAGCTGAAAAGAGGGTCTCCGATCCCGTAATGGTGCCGCTTGGATATTCGATGGTCTAGACGATCGAAAGCCTTGGAAAAATCCAGGTAGATCACGTCAACACCTTCTCCAGCGTCGGCTGCCTCGGTCCAACTACTGCGTGCAATTAGTAAATTCGTTGTACATGACGGCTGTCGACGGAAACCGTGCTGCTCAGGCGTGATGATGTTGCAGTTTTCCATATAATACACCAGTGCATCGGCAACTATGGATTCCATGACCTTGGAGAGTATAGGAAGAAGGGATACTGGGCGGTAGTTGGAGGGATCAGTTCTGCTTCCACCTTTGTTAATCGGGCTTATTATCCCAAGCTTCCACATGGCGGAAACTTGGTTCTGGTCTACGCAGTGCTGAAAAAACTGAGCTAAATGTCCTGCCAGTTGGTTTGCTGCTGCTCCCAATGCCTCTGGACGAATGTTGTCGACACCCGGCGAGCTGTGTTTGCGTAGAGAAGTCAGCTTTTGCAATACAGCCTCTGCGGTAACATTAATGTGGGTTAGTCCTGGTGAGCAGAATACAAAGCTTGGCAGATCGCTTGGTGGCAAGACTCTTTGAAACCTGGGGGTGTATTGCATCTGCAGCGGGTTTGCAGCTTCCATAGACGTTCTTGTTGGGCCATCAGCCGTCTTGAGTGGACGAAATCCTTGCCTCACCTTTTGTAGGCTATTAACGTGCTTGGACAGCAGTTTGTGGTTAGCACTGAAGGTTTGTGCGATGTTCTGCTGATAGGCGGCATTGTCTTCTCTTAACAGTTGAGTGCATTGGTTACGTTGGGCTACGTAGTTGTCCCAAGTTTCTGGTGCTGGAGCTTCTCTGTACACTCGCCAGGCTGCGTTGCGTACTGTCATCCATTTTCGGGTTCTGCTCCTAACGAAAGAAACTGATTTGCACCCTATTGCAAGCTTTTATATCTGAAGTCTCTGCAATCAGCTGACTGAATTTTTTGACGAATTTGAGCCAGGCGACTTCCGGGGGTTCTTCTTCGAGGGAAGACCATATTGTGGCGCTGACTAGCTGGGCGAGTCGGTCGTACCTTGTGATGGTTCGCACAGTCTCATGGTTATCAATCAGATATTCTGCATAGCAGACGAAGTTGTAACTGATGACTGCGTGATCACTGCGACCCAACGGGCAGCCTAAAACCAACGCATCAATCATATGCTCCTCGTCCCGCACATATCGAGGCTTGCATTGAACGAGAACAAAAGTTCTGGAGACACAAAAGCGATTCGCCGTTGTTTTGAATGGCTTGTCACTTGTCTGCCGTTTCAAATTTGAGGCATTTTCTGCTGAAACTCTCCAGCGTACTAGGACCAAGACCCTGCGCGGCCTTCAAGGTACCCTTGTGAGAGCGGCCAACATTCCTTTCCCTACCGAGGGCCAGAAGCATGTGTACAATCTGTCTACAGCTCGGTTCACGCGAGAACAGTTGGAGGTTCTTTCGCTGGGATTGAAATACCGAATACCGCCGAGGAATGTGGACAGGATCCACACACAGATTAATTTCGAATATCTGTACGATCAACTCAGCGACCTATCGCCGAAATCAACAGATGATGCAGGATGGTTTCGGGCAAAATTAGTGGATATCGCGCACCAGTTCCAGAACGCGGCTATTAGTCAGAGGTGTTGCTTGAAATCGGAACACTATAATGCAATCAAGGAGTTGCAGAAAATGGAAGATGTAATTTTCCTGCAACCGGATAAAGGCACGGGTGTAGTAATAATGGACAAAGCGGATTACACCGCAAAAATGGAGTCGATTCTCGGAGATGGACGCAAGTTTCGTATTGACAAGACGCTGGACAACAATATCTTGGTGGAGAAACAAATTACGAGACATCTACAAATTCTTTTGCTTCATGGGTATATCTCCGAGTCACAATATCGCCAGCTAAAACCGACAGGGACAGAAACACCAAGAATGAGGGGCGCGCCGAAGCTGCACAAGACGGGAATTCCACTACGCCCAATTATGTGTATGAATAACTCACCCTACCACAAAGTAGCCCGGTGGTTGGCAAAGCTCCTAGAACCCGTGCGTAAGCTCCTGGGCACGCATTGTTTGAAAGACTCCTTTGAATTGGTGAATATACTGGAGCGAACGACACTTGACGCGGAGCTCATGTATTCAATAGACGTGGAATCACTGTTCACGAATGTGCCCCTACGTGAAACGGTTGAGGACCTATGCCAATTTCTTTTGAGTCGGAACCTCTCTGTGGGCATCCCTCTAGAGTTCCTGAGAGACTTGATATTGGTGTGTACTGAGAATGTGCGATTTGAGTTTGAAGGGACGGCATACAAACAGATTGACGGCGTCGCTATGGGCAGTCCTTTGGGACCAGTTCTGGCAGACATCTTCCTAGGTCTGATTGAAAGGAAAGTTGCTACCTGCATAGGTGAAGCCAAGCTGTACAAGCGTTACGTAGATGATATTCTCGTCTTCACTGATGGTGAACATTTTGATCGTCTTGCTGCCCTCCTGAACTCAATTCACCCGAACCTTTCTGTATCACGGGAGAAGGAACAAGAAGACAGACTGCCGTTTCTTGACGTGCTCATCAAGAGAAGGACCGATGGCACATTGCAGCGCACGGTGTACAGAAAAGCGACCTGGGGTGGACAATACCTACATTTTTCCAGCTTCGCCCCAGTTGCATACAAGCGCGGCCTTGTAAAAACTCTCTTCTACAGGGCCAGGCGGATATGCAGTCCGGAATTACTCAAGGCTGAAGAAGAGTTTTTATACCGGACTTTGCTAGCTAATGGGTATCCGGAGAAATTCATTCAGACCCATAGCAGACCCCCCAAGGAGAAGCTCCCCGTGCAAACTGCGGAGAAGAAGAATGTTTATCTGTTCTTACCCTTCAAGGGGGATCACTTAGCAAATGAAGTTGGTCACAAGCTCAGGTCCGCTCTAATGCGCACCTACCCTACCGCCCAACTACGACTTATTCACACCACACGAAGGATTCCTCTCCACATCCGTTCGAGCAGCGCGCCAATCAGTTCGGCCTCTAACATCATCTACCAGTTCACTTGCAGTTGCGGTGACACTTACATAGGCAAGACTGGTCGCCGGCTAGCTCAAAGGGTGGCGGAACATTTCCCATTGTGGCTAAGGCAGTTGTTGTCTAACCAAGGCGGAGCGAAACAAAGAATGAATTTGAACCCTGCCTCGTCTATCTCCAAACACCTCTTGCTGACTCGTCACCAGGTGAACCCGATCGACTCATTCAAGGTGCTATTGCGCAACAGGAACCCGACACTGTTGGCAATTGGCGAGGCGCTACTGATAAGATTGAAGCGTCCCGTACTCTGTGCCCAGAAACAACTGAGACAATCAATTAGATTGCCTTGGTCCTGATTACGTCATTCCCATCATTTTTATCTGCTTATCTATGTTACTAAGTGTGGACCCTATATATTGCGTGTTTTTTCTGCCTGTATTGCGTTGCGACTGACGAGAGCAATCGAAATGTTAACATATCGCAACCTCTGTCTTCTTACTGCGTTAATGAAGTGGCTGAAGGGGACTCAGTGTTTCAAGTTTCTTAAAAGAAGACTCCCCGCTGACGTTGTGAGGTCATTGGATCGATTGTTGTCGTTGCGCTGCAAGATCATGGTGGAACGCGTAAGGGTTAAATTTTATCAAGAATGTATCCAGTCAGGTCGATTTCCATTTCGGTTTGTTAAAACTCTGTCGAAAAATAAGCTGCCCGCTAACAGTGTGAATCTAGCCAGGATTGCGTCCGCACATATCGAGGCTTGCATTGAACGAGAACAAAAGTTCTTGGAGACACAAAAGCGATTCGCCGTTGTTTTGAATGGCTTGTCACTTGTCTGCCGTTTCAAATTTGAGGCATTTTCTGCTGAAACTCTCCAGCGTACTAGGACCAAGACCCTGCGCGGCCTTCAAGGTACCCTTGTGAGAGCGGCCAACATTCCTTTCCCCACCGAGGGCCAGAAGCATGTGTACAATCTGTCTACAGCTCGGTTCACGCGAGAACAGTTGGAGGTTCTTTCGCTGGGATTGAAATACCGAATACCGCCAAGGAATGTGGACAGGATCCACACACAGATTAATTTCGAATATCTGTACGATCAACTCAGCGACCTATCGCCGAAATCAACGGATGATGCAGGATGGTTTCGGGCAAAATTAGTGGATATCGCGCACCAGTTCCAGAACGCGCCTATTAGTCAGAGGTGTTGCTTGAAATCGGAACACTATGTTGCAATCAAGGAGCTGCAGAAAATGGAAGATGTAATTTTCCTGCAACCGGATAAAGGCACGGGTGTAGTAATAATGGACAAAGCGGATTACACCGCAAAAATGGAGTCGATTCTCGGAGATGGACGCAAGTTTCGTATTGACAAGACGCTGGACAACAATATCTTGGTGGAGAAACAAATTACGAGACATCTACAAATTCTTTTGCTTCATGGGTATATCTCCGAGTCACAATATCGGCAGCTAAAACCGACAGGGACAGAAACACCAAGAATGAGGGGCGCGCCGAAGCTGCACAAGGCGGGAATTCCACTACGCCCAATTATGTGTATGAATAACTCACCCTACCACAAAGTAGCCCGGTGGTTGGCAAAGCTCCTAGAACCCGTGCGTAAGCTCCTGGGCACGCATTGTTTGAAAGACTCCTTTGAATTAGTGAATATACTGGAGCGAACGACACTTGACGCGGAGCTCATGTATTCAATAGACGTGGAATCACTGTTCACGAATGTGCCCCTACGTGAAACGGTTGAGGACCTATGCCAATTTCTTTTGAGTCGGAACCTCTCTGTGGGCATCCCTCTAGAGTTCCTGAGAGACTTGATATTGGTGTGTACTGAGAATGTGCGATTTGAGTTTGAAGGGACGGCATACAAACAGATTGACGGCGTCGCTATGGGCAGTCCTTTGGGACCAGTTCTGGCAGACATCTTCCTAGGTCTGATTGAAAGGAAAGTTGCTGCCTGCATAGGTGAAGCCAAGCTGTACAAGCGTTACGTAGATGATATTCTCGTCTTCACTGATGGTGAACATTTTGATCGTCTTGCTGCCCTCCTGAACTCAATTCACCCGAACCTTTCTGTATCACGGGAGAAGGAACAAGAAGACAGACTGCCGTTTCTTGACGTGCTCATCAAGAGAAGGACCGATGGCACATTGCAGCGCACGGTGTACAGAAAAGCGACCTGGGGTGGACAATACCTACATTTTTCCAGCTTCGCCCCAGTTGCATACAAGCGCGGTCTTGTAAAAACTCTCTTCTACAGGGCCAGGCGGATATGCAGTCCGGAATTACTCAAGGCTGAAGAAGAGTTTTTATACCGGACTTTGCTAGCTAATGGGTATCCGGAGAAATTCATTCAGACCCATAGCAGACCCCCCAAGGAGAAGCTCCCCGTGCAAACTGCGGAGAAGAAGAATGTTTATCTGTTCTTACCCTTCAAGGGGGATCACTTAGCAAATGAAGTTGGTCACAAGCTCAGGTCCGCTCTAATGCGCACCTACCCTACCGCCCAACTACGACTTATTCACACCACACGAAGGATTCCTCTCCACATCCGTTCGAGCAGCGCGCCAATCAGTTCGGCCTCTAACATCATCTACCAGTTCACTTGCAGTTGCGGTGACACTTACATAGGCAAGACTGGTCGCCGGCTAGCTCAAAGGGTGGCGGAACATTTCCCATTGTGGCTAAGGCAGTTGTTGTCTAACCAAGGCGGAGCGAAACAAAGAATGAATTTGAACCCTGCCTCGTCTATCTCCAAACACCTCTTGCTGACTCGTCACCAGGTGAACCCGATCGACTCATTCAAGGTGCTATTGCGCAACAGGAACCCGACACTGTTGGCAATTGGCGAGGCGCTACTGATAAGATTGAAGCGTCCCGTACTCTGTGCCCAGAAACAACTGAGACAATCAATTAGATTGCCTTGGTCCTGATTACGTCATTCCCATCATTTTTATCTGCTTATCTATGTTACTATGTGTGGACCCTATATATTGCGTGTTTTTTCTGCCTGTATTGCGTTGCGACTGACGAGAGCAATCGAAATGTTAACATATCGCAACCTCTGTCTTCTTACTGCGTTAATGAAGAGACCCAATAGGATGAAACGCCGTCTGGCGTTTTCCTGGATGTTTGGTGGCTGTCTGGCTGAGTTTATCTACGATGAATCTTCTCTAAGAAAAAATCGCGTAACACTAACTGCTCCTTTGCACTGTACAGTGATAACACAGGAGCAAGCTTCAATCCAGCCGGCAGTTCCTCTTCAAATCACACGCGTTCCACCAAGTGGTGCAGCGCATGTATCCACGCGAGTCCGCCGTGTTTCAACACTTCTGGCGGTATCCCGTCGAGATGGGAGCATTTGCCGTTACGTAGCTGAGCAAGTGTTCTCTACGTTTTATCCAGTGTCGGCAAGACACATCTTCATCTCTTGTTGCAGCCTGTGTAACGTAGCCCAGTCAATCTCTGAACGGTTGTTCAAGAGATAGTCAAAGTGCTTTCGTCAAATCCGCATGGCTGCAATCTGTGCGAACGCAACGCTTGAAGCAGTATTCACCAAGGTCATCAGCGACAGCAAGGTGGGTCCACACCGCCTTCATATATATGAATAAAGATCTCTCTCTAAATGTAGACCATAGAGTTGACTCGCCCGAGGTACTGTGAGCCTTCACTGTATGCGATGCGAGAGCAGTTTGGAAATGATTGAGGGTCCTCGAGCATTTAAGGCTCATTTAAGGATGGAGAATGAATACTCGCTGTTCAATAAATACTGTTAAGCTGAGCGGTTATATCAACTGACAATTAGTCGTCATGGCTGTTCGACGACGGAAGATAGCTAGATAACTGCACCTTCTTCCGCAGTGACCCCAGCGAATAGTGACAAAGGTAAGCACAAAAAAGTCTCTACTGATTTAAGCGACGTGGTCACTGTGACTCAACCGCCATACATGTGCTGAAAGCAAAAGCAAGATGCAATGAAAATGGAACAGTGTCGAGAGGTTGCTGGGGCAGATTCAAACCGTGTCGAAAGACTAGCGGAGAGAACGACAGCCCCGCGATTGGCAGTTGGTGGTGAAATCAGAGGTTATTCATCTATTCATAGATCGTTCTGAGGAGGTGCTCACAGAAAACAAAAGATAATGCATCATCACACCATGCAGAGGTCACAGTTTCACAGCAAAAGTGCAATTTGAACTCCAGTGGCTTGCAGACGGCGGAATAGAAAGTAATTGGGTAAAACAAACACTATCTGTGTAGGATGTATTGGGCAGACAAAAATTGTGGAAAACTGATCCTCGGAACAGTGGATCACATCAGTTCAAACTTGCAAAGCAGTCGATAAGTGATTGTATGTGGTTGAAGGCAACATGTGATGAGAAAAGATGGGGACTTTTGGGCCGTCCGCTGTTGAACAGAAACGCAAGGGAAATCAAAGTGGCAGAAAGGGAGCCCAAAAATAGCATCAACAGCGTTCGTGTACGAATTAATCAAATCCTCGGAAGTGAAGGCTGGCTTATCAGGACATTGGTTTAAGAGACAATAGGACGCCCCGCATTCGACTCAGGTCCGACGAAGTTTTGTGCTTGCTCTGAAAAGGGAAGAAAGGGAGTATGCAGTCTCAGGATAACATCTGAATACTCGAGCGGTGTGTTGTATCACACGCTACGGGGAGATAGGGGCGGAAATCAGTTACGATAGCAACAGCAACAAGCGAGGATCGGCCTATGTATGACTGCTGGGTGGCATAAATGCATCGGAGCAACGTCGAGGTTATAGCATGCATTGATGAGACTTAAGTAGCTAATTGTACGTATCGATTATGGGAAGGGTTTGCAACGCTACGGAACAACGAGTGCCTGTGTATAGATGAGAAGCCTGACCGTTGCGCGTTGAGGACATTAAGATTTACTGTGTTTGACTACGGATGCCTGCAAGTATGGTTTGTATTGAGTGGGAGTGCCATTTGGCGCATGCCAGCAAACCCTCCGGTGGCTCATGCACGTACTTCATGTGCCTATAAGCCTCGGTGTGTACTGTTTGTCAATAAGCGCTTTTAGGTGAAATCCCGAGGGGGTCAGTCAAAGACATATGGAGAAAAGCCAAATCAGATTGGTGCATGTCGTATGTATGAATGAGGCTGTCCCGTTCCATTAGGACTCGTCAGTAGGCTCTATCAGGAACCGAATCCAGGGGGTAATAGCCGCTTGTGCCACTAGTCAGCAGCTTATACCATTAAGTCATGGGAAACGGCAGCAAACCATCATGACTCACGAGATAACTGCACTATAGCGCAACACATCCTTCACCGCCATGCAAGTCACGAAGGCTACAGCATTAACAGCTTCTAAAGACTGTGATGTGCATAGACTCTCTGGGCCAAACCTGTCCTCTGCAATTGAATCCATCGCAGCTCAGTGCGCGAGAATAAACTGGATGAGACAGCAGCGAAGCGCATTATGGGGACAGCAATGCTGTTAGTAGAGCCACAACAAGGTTGAGCAAGCCGGCATGCCAAAGCTGAGGGAGGGGCTAAGGATTGAACACATATTCCAGTTCACTTGGAACCAATAGGTAAGTGGCACGACAGAGGATCGAAGGCGATGCAGTGGTGAACGCCAAGGGCCACTATAGCGAGATCCAAAATCGATCACATTGCGTGCTTGTGAAGGAAATTAAGCGGAGACATACCGACAAGCAGTGTGGCGCACAGGACCGTTATTGTATAGCAAACAATATAAAAATGTCCGAATTGGAAATGTGCGAAAGCGTTAAACCTAGTGAACGCCTTGTGAAGTGTCAACCAATAAAATGTCGGGAAGAGACAAGTGGGTAAATTTCAAGCAAAGACGAAGCTATTGCAATAATTAACGATGGTGTTGGGTATTTCCCGCCCGAAAACACTACACTCCTGTGACGTGTTTCGATGTTATTTCATCTCATCAGATAAAGATAACAGGCATGGAACCTGGGATTACTGGGACGTTAATTGTGACCGCTACCCCTAAGAAATCGAGTCACGACGAGCAATGCTTGGCACAATGGTTAATGATTGATACTGAGGACCATTTTGAAGTACACGTTGTGTGGATGGATTGCGACACATAATTTCAATATTGACCGCGATTTCCATTGAAGTGAACCCTGATCTTTCGATCACGAGGACGGTAGCTGAAGATAGAAATTGGGTGTTGCCCAGTGGCTTAGGGGTAGCGGTCACAACTAACATCCCAATGGTCCCGGGTTCGATACCTGCTATCTCTGTCTGATGAGGTGAAATAACAGCGAAACACGTCATAAGAGTGCAGTGTCTTCGTGCGGGCAACACCCAATTTCTATTTGCATCAGCTACGGTTCTCGTGATCGAAAGACCAAGGTTTACTTCGATGGGAATCGCGGTCAACATTGAGATCGCGCGTCGTAATCCATCCACACAATGTGTACTTCAAAATGACCGACCATATAAAGAGGGCGTTCATTGCTAGAAAATCAGAATTTGAGTACGGACTAGAGAGCCATATAGATAGCAGAAGTGTAGATGATACGAAACAGTGACAGGGCCGGTTAGCTCAAAGTATGGCGGTTGGCACAAAATGCACAATAAATAGAAAGTAGAGAGCAGATCTCGACCATCTCGATCCACATTGTGCAACAAGAACTTTCGGTTAGGTTTGTGAAAGGATACAAGCACTTGAGTAAATAGATCGTGGAACCATTGGAAGCACGCACAATATCAAGCTGTACCGTGATATGTGTTGAAGGTAGGTAACAACAGCTGCAGCTCCCGCATGATCGCACCAAGAGCATCCCGATGATGACTTCACTTCGCCAGTTCGTAAACCGGCAGTGGAATGGGGAAATATTGATTAAATTTACTCCACGTGCTATCCAATTCATTTTTGCGAATGCAAAAAGTGTCAACGCTATCTACTATATTAATGAAGCTGGGAAAAAATACTGATAAACATTTCTAATGAATCAAGGACCAACAAATAAAAAGAGTCAGGACAAACCTGAAAATCACACATATCACAAATCCGCTCCCAGACGGCAGTGTCAGTGACAGTCGGTTTAGAAGCGACGGATTCCCCACGTCCTCGTTCTCCTTCTGAGCACTGCTTAGCTCGAAATTCCTTCGCACGTGACGAAATATTCTCCCTATACTGTTTATACCAGGCGTCCAGTTCCTGAAACGTATGGCACGAGATGACAGAATTGCAACAGTTGTATGAAAGCAAGACAAGTTTGCTAGAACAGAAACATACTCAACAGCTCTTTGATAAACGAATGCGCAGGTAACCAGATGTAGTGCGTGCACTTCAGGGCGCAAGACGAAACGAAATGCAATGGATGTCCAGGCAGCTTCCAATCCCCTCCCCAGCTTGCAACTTCCAAACATGTACCTCCACAAGGTGGTGGGCTATAGTTAAATCTGTATTCGCCAGACAACAAACTCAGCGCATGAAACGGTAACACGACGAAAGTAACTATCGCGAGGCAGAATCGTTAGCTGTGAGTTGGTCAGAGATAAGCTTCGATTTCGCTTACCAGGGAATAAGAGTAATTTTGGCTTAACTTCAGATGGTAGATGAAATCGTAATACCTTAGAAGATTGTAACCTTCGTTTCACCGGGCGTTGTATCAATTACTGAGAGGATAAAGGGCAAACTGTTCAAGTACGCTGAATCCAAGCGCCCACTCTGCCAAATGTAGCCCATACTGTTGTGATAGGCATCTTCTGTGATAGACACACTTTTCGAGATTATGACGAGTGAAACAATACGCAGTTGTTTTCGTTGTTACGATTTTTATTATCGTTAAAAACTGTCGTGTTTGCTCGCTGTGGAACATTTAGGCCTTTGATCGTTCTTTCTTTATTTTCAGCTACTGTGTTTAGAAACTTTCCAATCTCAATACTTTTTCCGGTTGGGCGGCTGTCAGTCGTTGGCTTGTTCCTGCATTACATTTTCTGCTTGAAAGGCTGCATTGGGCTTTCGGGTTGGTCAGCACCAGTTCATAAATCTCGCAGACGACAGATTTCAAGGACGGTCGGAAGATCATCCGGTCAGCTCACCACCTTCCAATTCAATACCGTCCAAAACTGGATGTTTTATAAAGAAATACCGTATATTACCGTGTATATGCCGACAGTATGACTTTGCAGCGTCAAATTTGTCCAAAATCGTGAGTCCATATACTAGCCGACACTCAAAAGATCAGCAAAAAAAGAAACGAAATTGTTTCTCGCGATTTTGACATCATCGCTATCTGCTCTCACTTGAGTGTGCTCTACTATTGGTCAGTTCTGGCGACCTAATGTGTTATGATCGCAGTTAATGGGGCTTAGAGCAGTCAGAACAAAGATTTTAACCGCACTGGACAGTGTACTGATTAGATGAAAGTCACACTAAACAGGTCAGGCAGCCGACAATATGGGGTAAGGTGAAAGGGTATGTCAGACACCGCCTGGCATCTGAATCGCAGTGGAGCAGCGGGTGAGAAGGAAATTCACGAACAGTGGTGTGGGACGACTTTGTACTTGTAATGCACCAAATTGACTAGTATGGCATAATGTATAATCGCTGTGATTCACCAACAAAAATAGCGCTAACGCGACGTCACACGATCCAGCTGAGGGGGAATCTGCCCACATTTCGTGCGATCTTCCAAAGCCGTGGAGAGGTAAAAAGTGCCTGGACAGAAGCGATGTGCGTATGCTTCTGACTTTAAATTGAAAGTTATCGCGCTTGCCGAGCAATCTAATAATTGTATGGCTGCATGCTATTTTATGGTGAATGAAAAGCAAGTGAGAGAATGGCGAAAGCAAAATTCAGAATTGTCACTAATGCCTGCACGCAAGAGAGCGGCACGCGGTAGCCAAAGCATATTTCTTGCACTGGAGGAGAAGTCGCCGTCGTGTGTTATGTAGTCACGGCACAGTGGGTTAATTATTACCCGAACGAATATTCGGATCATAGGGCTTACAATGTTAAAAAGTCCGGAATTCCAGCCATCAAAACCGGTGAATTTGGTTGCATCCTCCGGATGGTGTAAGTGTTTTATGAACCGATTCGACATGTGTCTACGGACCCGCACAAAACTAGCCCAGAAACTGCCGAGGAAATTGGACAGTAAAGTGGAATCTTTTCAAAGGTTCGTGATTCAGCTGAGAAAGAACTGCAACTCCGAACAGTGCCAAATAGGAAATATGGACGAGACGTCCGTGTGCCTTGATATGCCTTCAAATGGCACGGTGGAGCAGAAAGGTGCTAACGAAGTTTTGGTAAAGACGAGGAAACACGAGAAGACACGGTTTACAGTTGTTTTAAGGTATATGGCGGATGGTTCCCGTCTATCACCTTTCATTATTTTTAAGCGTGAGACGCTGCCTAAAGGAGCAAGGTTCCCAAGCGGCGTGTTTGTGCGGGCTCACGTGAAAGAATGGATGGACGAGTGACACTATAAACTGGTTGAATACAGTTTGGGGAAGGCGAACCAGTGCCCCTTTAAAGAAATCATCTATGCTGGTTTGGGATTCCTTTGGGGCACATCGGACTGAGAACGTGGAGAAACGATACCGCGAACTGTAGTCGTCCGTTGGTTTAATTCCCGGCGGACCTATCAATCTTGCAGCCTGGATGTCTGTCACAATAAATCACTTAAAGCTAGGCTTCGGGCCAGGTGGATTGAATGGATGTCATCGTCTGATTTAGCGTTGACGAAGGGTGGCAATATGAGAAAGGTTGACGTTATTACAATTGCAGAGTGGGTGAAAGAAGCATGGCTGGATGTTCCATCCGAAATTATCGTACGGTCATTCAAAAAGTGCTGCATCAGTGATGCTGTGGATGGAAGCGGGGACGATGTCATTTTTGAGGAATACGACAATGACGAGAGCAGTGAAGTTGAAGATGACGATATTCACCCTGACGTCCCAATGACAGACGACCAGTACCAGAAACTGTTTGGGGATTCTGACTCCGATTCTAATTTCGAAGCATTCGAGTAATTTTAATATCATTGTGCAGCGTTTGAATATGTGAGCCTATAAAATCTACCAATACGTACTGTTCTGTCATGTCATTTTTCAATGTTATTGTGTGTGATGGTGTTCGATTCTGTATAATCGGCATGTTTTTGTTACTGCCATTGGTCGCGAAAGTCAAATGTGCAATATACCGAGAATTTTCGGCACAAACATAATGTGTCTACCTATAGGCACTTCAAATCCCCGCCTGGGATACCGTCTGTCACTAGCGAGTGGTGCTAAGGCAAGATAGGGGCACAGGTGTGCAGTGAATTTCTGGGTGGATTTTGCATGTACTTTTTGCAAATTGCGCACAACCTTTGTATAAGCCGACCCCCCACTACAGACATAAAAATTGTCTAAAACTCCTTGGCTTATACACGGTAATATACGGTAAATAAAGGGTATATTCTCGACAACGCGAGGAACGCTTCGTAGGCATGATCAAGGTCAAGTCACACGAATAATCGATAAATGTACAGAAACGTCACAAGTTTACCGGTTATGGTAAATTTATGTTGTATGAATACATGTGAAGGAATGTGTGGCTAGGTGCGTTGTTTGTATATGCGCTGCTGTATTTGCGATTGTTTTCTGACGGACCGTCAGAGTGCGAAACGGCCAAAGAAATTCTTGAAAATAGATGAACGACGTCCGCAGCTTGGGTAAGATCGTTTGAAGAGGCAGGGAGCAGTGACTTTATTTAGTAGGGAGTCACATCCGTCATGCTGCAGCGCTGGTTCGCATCAACGGACATTTGGTTCACTTGTAGCTTTACAGCCTCTGACATCACCCTCATCTTAAGACTCTGGCGCTCTCTTGGTGGCCCTAAAGTCCAACCATCCAACTGGACAGCCACCAGCTATTGTGGTGATTCGGCGCAGTTGGCTGGACGGTTAAGCTACTCAGTGTACTTCCGCGGAACCACTATCGAGATAATCTGTTACGCATCCGATTCTGACCTCGACCTTATCAGACTTGACTGGCTTGGGCCACTTGGTTTCATTGGTTTTTCAATTTGTTCCAGCTGAAACTTACTGCAGTTCAACGCCATACTTTCGGATCTGACCCAACAGATGACGCATCAGTTCACCGAGGTTTTCAATGGGTGGGTTGGTCTCTGCACCCGCACCAAGGCCACGCTTCAACTAAGAGCCGATAACCGACCTATCTTCCGCCCGAAAAGATTAGTACCCTACGCTGCCTTGCCGATCGTCGATAAGAAGCTCAGGTGTTTGAAGGAAATTGGAGTCTTTCAGGATGCGCTATATCTTGCATGGGCCGCTCCTATTGTTGTCGTCAATAAGGTTAATGGGTCTGTCCTCATATGTATCGAGTTTTCGGCAGGTCTAAATTCTGCCCTATAGTCCAATTGGCACCCGCTTCCGGTCCCAGAAGATTTATTCACCACGCGTAATGGTGGCACTCGCTTTGCTGTTAGACCAGTTGTAAGCGTACATTCAAATCGACGTGACATATGCATTCCGTGAACTGCTTACTGCCAATACCCACCGACGTTTTGTCCAATACACCAGGCTAACATTTAGTGTCAAACCACCACTTCTGCAACACAGAATCATTATGGCCTCAATGCTGGAACACCTGCATACGCTCTGGATTACAGACGCCGGCACAATGAGTAGATCGAAGCGGTTGTTTGTTAGACGAACTGTTCGCTGAGCTTGGCAATTCTGTTGGAAAGATTACGTCACAAATCGTGAGACTAGAGCACTGATGATGTCACCTCGTTCGTTCGTATAACAAATGAACCACCTGAGCTGCCTACATTTGCCACCAAATCGAAGCTGTTCTTACTGCTCACTGAGGACGAGTACCTTACGATGTATCAGTAAAGGATGAAACCTGGAGACGGCACTCACACCAGTTACGTTTAAAGCATGCGAACTCAACGGAGGACATCAGTAATCTACCGCTCCCGCTAGACATACCAAAAGACACCTTTATCAGTCCAGTCACAAGCAGCATAAATTCCACTCTGTCGGAAGATCAGGTAGATGTCAACCTCCACCTTTACCGATGGACAGATCGAGTCCGACATCAAGCAAAGCCCCTGCAGCCGAACCCAAGGAAGCAGACCTACAATTAGCCAGTCTTAAGAAGGGGTGTTGTGATAGCCTCCATGAGTGACACATTGTTCGAAATTTATAATGAGTAAAAAATGTGTAACTGCTTTCGTTCGCACCTTTTTATTTGCAATAAAAACTGTCATTTTTGCTTCCTGTCGATTAGTTCGCTATGGGGGATTCACGTAATGTATCGTTTCCGTTTTCTTTTCAGCTACTGTAATTTTAAGTGCAAGAAGAAAAAATAATTCAGCTGGCGGGATATCCTGAATTCAGTATATTTCGCGTATTCTCATTCAGCTGCATACAGACTAATGGTGAAAACTGCAAACGAGCGGGAGTGAAAAGGAATCAACACAAAGAATCGATAATCGGCTAAGGGGACAGTGCCTTTACAGGAAAAAGCACCTTACTGCGGCAGAGCAAGACTGGCCTCAAGTTCCAGTTACTTGCATAGGTTAGGCTTTAGACGCCGGATGGTGGCACACTCAGCGAACTTTAGCAGGTTAGGATTACTTTGACTGCTAAGAACTTTGACTGCTTCTCTGGGGTTTTGGCATAGTGTACAGTCGAACAAGTGCCCCGCAATTGAAGTAGCAGGTAGTTTCCCACCAGTCAAGGCTAGATTGCACGGAATGTGCCCCGAAATCCCGGTCGTCAGCCTTCTCTCAGTCCGGCCGATGTACTTTCCAATCAATACTTCTTCCGGTTGGGCGACTGTCAGTCGTTGGCTTGCTCCTGCATAACATTTCCCATCGACCGGTTTCCGAAAGGATCACATGCCTTCCTTGTAATCTGAAGGACACAGGTTGGAGAATGCATAACGGGACTGGGCGACATTCGCGGTACCCTTAGTCCATGCGAGAGAGGTGGTGGTTGGATGACAGCGAAATGTCGGTACCTCGTACCAGCGCACTGCTGATGCCTTTACGGTTCATACTTGAAAGTAAGGTGTGCCGCGTTAGGATTTGTATCTGGTGCGAAGTGTGTGTTGTGAGCGACTATCCATGATGATGTCGATACGTAACACACCACTATCCCCAAGGTCACGGCAGATGCGAAGAACAAAAGCTGTAGCGATAACCATAGTTGTGAGAAGCGTTTAGAGCGCGGTTAGACCAATGGTGAAAAAAGCGCGAATTTCCATCCCACATCTTTTCAATTGAGCACGTAGGTTCAATCTCAACTTTCTGCAAACTTCCTGTAATTTATCATGAACAAAGTTTTTGATAAAAGCTCCATATTCTAACTGTGCAAAATCCTGGAAACGGATCTGTCCGCCCAAGTAAGCGACTGAAAGTCAGGCGACAAGAGCTTAGACTTCGCAAACACGGTCGAGGTGCTATTTGCGATCATTAGATCCAGTGACCAAGGAGTAGTCGGAGCAGTCGTTAGAATTCGATATCCACCGCAATCAGCCACTCGTGTACATCCGAAGAACTCGGTAGCCGTCCGTTTTCACGTAACGAGCAGACGAAAAACGCAATATGAGGCGCATGAAATTCAGGTCAGTTAACGCGGCTGCCCCCTGGTGTCGTATGGTAGGCTTTTGGAAATGACCCCCTTATGAGACAAGACTTGTTTCTCCTCAGGGGATAATGAGTTGCGCTGCGAGCCCTACCTTTGAAGAAGCACACGCGTCTAGAATGTTAGGAAGGATCGAATTGGTGTTGTGCCGGTAATCGAATCGGCTCTGTGATCAAAGAGGAAAATAAAATGAGCAGTAAGTGATAACATGCGCGTTAGAGTGTATGGGAGATAAACATCTGGACTGCATATCAGATGATAAGGTGGGTTTACCTCCGAGCATTGATGTAGGTGTTATTAATCACACCGCGGTTGATGTCATGATGCATTCTGACACAGGTATCGTGATGTTTTCTGCAGATAATTAGAACTATGGCTCCGACTGTCACGTAGCTGGATTAAGATTAGCGATAAGAATAGCAGACTGATTTTTTCGAGAATGCTCATCCAAAAAGGAATGTGGTGTATGTGTCAATTTTATCGCAAAGATAAAAGATGTCCATTTATCGGTATAATTCGCATAACAAATCGGGTATACAGTGAACAGAATAGGTCCGACACACCATTCCGTGTAGAGTGATGGGATAACACCAATTCTTACGGCAAAGAAGTTCAGTTGGAGCGTACGAAGGTAAAACCTAGTATGGGACATGAGCATCACTAAATTCAAAGAAGAAATAATGCGTCACCGCGTCAAGAAGTTAGAAACTGTACCAGTAGTCAAGTACTTTCTAAGTCAAACGCAAGAAGCCTGACTAACCGCATACCGTTCCCCGAGCTAGGTATTGTAGAAAAAGTATACAGCGGCAATTCAGAGATGAACTGTGCATGTTTATACAGAACTTGGAGAATGATGGACCAGTTTCGTAGGGCCTGCGCACAGGTCAAATAGACAGGGAAGGGAGCTGCAGATGTGTTGGCTAAGCCGGAAAATAAGTCGTGCAAGGAACATGGCGGATACCAGAGAAGATAAAACTAGTTCGTAACAATAGAAAATATGCAGGTAAGATTGAACATTCATAGGTTACCTTGCTGGCTGTTTCCTTCAATACAGCAAGTGCTTTTTCCTCTTCTATATCCTTTTTCGCGATCCGTTCATCAAATCGGAGGCGCCACGTATCACATTCATCGGATGACTCGATGACGTGGTTCTGTAAACCGTTAGGTATCGAAGAATGCGGCTCTTGGATGTGGTTAAAAGCAGATGAAAACGGATCCGCCTCAGTGATGGCAGGAGTAGCGGCATTGGTTGTGGTGTTCAACATGACGTAACCATCGTTGAAAGTCGGAAGTGACGGCGAAGCGGGAGCTAAAAAGGCTTGTATACATGGTGAGTCAAAGCAAGAACCATGCTTACGATTGTCGGACAAATCATTGGATTGATTATGGTTATCTTCTTTACCGAATTGTGTCAGGTTTTCTTGGTCCCCGGTAAAAAGGGTATCGGTAGAATCGAATTCAGACATCATATAGGACGCTACAAAGAGAAGTGGAAAATTGACCATCCGCGTAAAGACAACAGGCGGAGTGGAGTCAATCGGTGCGAAAAACAATAGGGTTGGATCCTGGTCGAAACAGTGAATTTTGGTACATACAGTAAGGACTGAATCGGCATGGTAGTAACCGGAAAAGTATTTTATGCAAACGATTGGTTAGAGCAGTGCAAAGTGAAAGCGGATAAATGTAACAGAAATTTAAAGGTTCGTATGACGCGGCAGAATATGCACGTATTGAATCCTTCCGTTACCAGGCCCCGCTGTCAGTCACAACTGCTTAGGCTAACGGCGGGACATGTTAGACGAATACATATGCCACTGTTTATAACTTCCCGTCGCAACGAGACTGGACCTTAACGTGGTGCGACGGTTTGCGTACCTCATTGACCCATTGAGCTATCCTGGGTGATGCCTCCAAGCATCTTGAGAGCTACTCCTACCAGGTTGGTCAATGGTGAGAGGTCAGACAAACTCAGTCTCCTGGTCCTCCAGGTTGGGGGTTTGAAATGGAATAGCGTCCATTTCTGTAAAACTAAATCACTGCCACCCCGCTGCCTTGCGGACAGGCTTTTGAGCCAAAGGCTTTGGATGAGGACCCTAATCGTTCTCCTGTCTAGGTCTGGGCGCCCTGGCAGTATCCCAGAACACATACAACCATGACATTTTCTTCAAACATAAGCTTCATCCTGCATCGGCCGTCGCGCAGATTATCTAGGGTCGCCTTATCTGCTGCATACAGCAGGGCGGATAAGCGAAAGCATGCTACTGCTGGCGCCTCCCTTCTTTCTTTTCCACCTTTTTCTCTTACTCCCATCCCGGCCCCCATTACTAACCTTCCTCCTATAATTCCCAGCTTAATTGACAGCAACCGAAATGCCACTAGAGTAGAATCATCTGCAGCCACCATCCCACAGCACCTATCGGACGCCTATCGGCAAAAGTCCCTTATAAGACAACGCTGTCCCGTTTCCATGGCGACATACAACGTCCGCACTCTAAGACAAACAGGTCAGCAGGCCGCACTCGCACGCACATTGGACACACTGAGTATTGATGTATGCTGTGTGTCCGAAACTAGGATTAATGACCCTAATGGGGTTATTGAATTGACTGCACCCGGCTTATCCTCTCGTTATTGGTTGCACGCATCCGGAGACGCCGATGCGGCACTCACGGGTCAAGCTGGTGCAGGTATCATTCTCAGCTCCAAGGCTGAGCCATTGTTGGTTGATTGGATTCCGGTGAACAGCCGTTTATGTGCAGCCCGTTTGACGACATCAGCTAAGGTGAATTCGCGAAGTAAAACAAAACGCTGTTTGTTTGTGATTTCTGCTTATGCTCCCACGGACTGCAGTTCTAATGCAGTCAAGGACACTTTCTATCACGAACTGAACACGCTGCTACGCAGTGCTACTAGTTCAGATATTATAGTACTTGCAGGGGATATGAACGCACAAGTAGGGCGTCTGAGCTCTTCAGAAGCTCAGCTGGGTGGTAAGTATGGACTTAACTCCGAACGGACTGATAACGGCGAGCGTCTGCTGCAACTGTGTGCGGAGCACCAGTTGTTTCTTACTAGCACTGCTTTTAGACACAGTGGGCGCCGAAGTGCCACTTGGCGTCCACCTGTAGCTGGTCAGCGATGGACCCAAATTGACCACATAGCCCTAAGTTACAGGTGGCGCGGTTCCATTCTGGATTGCCGTTCGTGCTGGAGTACCTGTGTCGACTCTGACCATGCCTTGGTGCGCTGTCGTTTCTCCATGAACTTTACCGGAAGGCGCACAAAGCGTCTCCCCCGATTGGCAACGGAGAAATTGTCCCAGCCCTCTGTCAGGCAAGCCTATCAAGAAGCACTGCATAGCGAACTCTCGCTGTCTTGTCCTAATGACACTGAACTTCAGTGGAATAGGATCTCGGCCACTATGCACGACGCAGGAGCATCTGCTTGTGGCACTATCCATCGTCATCGCACCAGTCACTGGATATCCGAGAGGTCCGTGAACCTCTTGGAAGCTAGAAGGCACCTCCCGGCTGGTTCTGAACACAATGTGACCAGACGGGCTATTAGGCGCGAACTAAAGCGGAGCCTACGTGCTGACAAGGAAGCCTGGTGGACCAGTCGGGCTCAAGAAATGGAGGAGGCAGGAGCAGTAGGCAATTACCGGGAGCTCTTCCAGCTAATACGCACCACTGGTCCGAGAAAACCAGGCGTCAGTGAGACTATCAGGGACAGCGCGGATGCGCTGATACACAATAAGGAGCGCCGTATGGCTCGTTGGGCGGAACACTTTCAAGATCAGTTCAGCTGGCCTCCTGCTCCCGGACCTCTTCCTACTCAGGTGATGCAGGACGAGCCATGGACGGTTAGTTTAGAGCCTCCGTCGGAGGCCGAGGTCCGAAACGCGATCACAGCCCTCAATCGTTTTCGTGCCGCTGGCCCGGATTCCCTCCCACCTGCACTATTTAAGGATGGAGGTGAGGTCCTCTGCAAAGCACTGACCTCCCTATTCGAACGTATCTGGAACGAAGAGAGTGTGCCGGCTAATTGAAGCGAATCGATTATAGTGGCAATATACAAAAAGGGCAGTCGCACAGACTGTGCGAACCACAGGGGTATTAGCCTAACGCCAGTTGTGACAAAATTACTGGTCTCGATTATCGTTCGTCGCCTCACTGCAGAACAGGAATCTCGGATTAGAGAAGAGCAGGCCGGTTTTCGCCCAGGACGTGGCTGTATAGACCATATATTTACTTTGCGGCAGGTGCTAGAGCAGCGCCACGCATACCGCAGACCGACAATAGCTGTGTTCCTCGATTTCAAGAGTGCGTTCGATTCAGTCGATCGATCGATTCTGTTCGAAATACTTGCGCGGAAAGGTGTTCCCACGAAATATGTGAACATGCTTCGTGCTCTATACTCGAACACTACAGGCCGCGTCAGGGTCTATGGTGTCCTATCGGATAGCTTTTCGACTACAAGTGGCGTTCGACAGGGTTGCCCGATTTCCCCATTTTTTTCAATTTCGTCGTGGATTCTATCATGGAGTGTTCCCTTGCGGAATCTCACGATGTAGGTGTTGAAGTGCTGCCTGGTGAACGGTTAGTTGATCTAGATTATGCGGACGATACCGTCTTGCTTTTCGACAATGTTGAGGCGGCACAATCAACCCTGAATAGCCTGTCCAGAGTGGTCCCATTATTTTGTATGCACTTCGCACCTTCAAAGTGCTGCTGCAGGACCACCAGCCACTTGATGACCCCTTGACGCTTGCTAACGAGGAACTCGATGTGGTTGATCAATTCACTTACCTTGGCAGCTGCATCAGCACTGATGGGCGCATAGAAACTGACGTGAGCTCACGCATTGCAAAAGCCAGAGCTGCCTTCTTGAACCTGCGTCATCTTTGGCGACAGAAGGGAGTTTCCCTCCGTCTGAAAGGCCGTGTACACAAGGCCACAGTAAGGGCCGTTCTGCTCTATGGTAGTGAAACTTGGCCCCTTCGGTCTGAAGATCTGAGGCGCCTTCAAGTCTTTGATCATCGTTGTTTGCGGAGCATTGCTGGTGTCGGATGGCACCAGCGTATCCGCAACGATGATGTGCGTAGGCGAGTACTAGGTGGCGATGATCATGCTAGCTCCCTAGAACAACAGATAGCACTGAATAAGTTACGTTGGCTCGGGCACGTGCTACGCATGCCTGGTCACCGCTTACCTAGGAGGGCCTTGTTCAGTCTACCAGGTGTCGGATGGCGCAAGGCTCGAGGTGGACAGAAGTTGACTTGGCAGCGGGAAATGAAGTCACTGACGACCAAACTGGGTGCCGTTGGTCCATCTCGCCTTCCGGGTTGGAGTCCACGTGACTCACCTTGTGCTTGGCTCGAGACTTTACAGGACATGGCTCGCAACCGACACCAGTGGCGCGTCTGCTGCCGTCTCCTAATCGGATTGTCTGTTTAAAGTGTGTTTGGTGCTGAGTTATCTGCGGGGTAATGGCTGATTATGACGCGGGGCAGTGGAAGCCGCAAGGAAGCTGTCTCGCCGATGCCGCCTTATCTTTGCACGATAGCCAGCTGTTTGTGACGGTATGTTGTCTACACAAGGTGTAGGCGCCTTGACCCAGAATGTTTGCTTAGGGCATTAAGGTTTTCAGGTAAGTCCCCTTCTCTCCCTCTTCTTATTCTTTATTTCATAGGTCCTCATGGTTGTATGGCAGCGAAGCATCAGTTCAAATGGCTGATGTACTGCAGTTGATGATGATGATGATGATGATGTGTATAACTTCAGCACATTGCCCTTCTTCCGCACCCCGACCTTGACTCTGTACCGTGCTTGTCTCTCGCTATCTATTAACCAGATAGCAGTATCCACGTCTTCTTATTAACTCCTATCTTTTACTAGGTGGTTGTGATAACGGCATGAAACCGTCTAGGGAGTGTTTCTTTTCGCTTGTAGCTCCACCGATCTATTGCGTCCCACTTCACAAATTGGATCCAGAAGATAGTGGAGTCTCGAACGGGAAGCGTACTACATAAGACAGACAAGCCATGCGACCAACACCAGTCGCCAGTGGACTAGAGATACTGCGAGGTCGCCCAGTCCCTTACGCAAGGTCGAAGCGGTGATCAGTGTGTTGCAAAGCAGGCTCACTAGCTCCTCGGCCAACGGCCGCCAAAAAAACTGGAAAATCACCGTAACGGATACTTGCATCATTCAGCGGGGTGCACCGAATTTGCAAGAACTAAGAAAATTTGGATTCAAATTGGTGAGCGGGGAGTTGGACAGATCTGCACAAGGACGAGAGTGGTGTGCTCTTTGAGATCTTCTCAGATACAAGTGTGTAAAAGTAATTTCCCCTTTGTTTCCCAAGCAGATATTGCAGCAGTCTGGAGGTTTCTCGGTTTGCTTGTGTAAAATTCAAGTTAAAAGTAAGAGTTCAGTATACACTTAGGCGACTGGTGCTGACTATTGGGTTCGATTGC